ACTGTCAGTCGTTTCGACCTTTCAGCTCTGTTTTTGTTTACTCACATATGCATTTTAAATTTATTACCATCGTTTTTCATCCGAGTTTATACATAAAAAATATGTGAACAAATTATCACCAGAGCTCAAAAGGGAGAGACAAAAAAACGTTTCGTAAGTTAGAAAATGGAAAAGGGGCGCATGATACAGAAGCAAATTTTATGATTGTCGCTGTTCGTTCATATATTCGTCGGGATGTTTTATACATTCAAAAATACTACAAATTTCATCAACTGTCATTTACTTCAATTGCATCACATAATTTATGGTCGTTCATTTCACCAAACTGCGAATTCATACAACAATTTTTCATTATGTCGTTTTGAAGTTATTATTAAGTGAAGTGTTATTATGTTTAATTTGAATGATATTTCACAGTAAGAGGATTTTGCAAAACAATTTAACCATTTCAATACAAGATAAGAAGTTATGCATAGTCAATGATAATTAATACTCTTTACAATATTTCATGAAATTCAATATAAATTTGTTTAACTCTTATGAAAACATTTTTATTTTACAAAATTAAACTGGTTGTATGGTTTTGTGTTTTTATTTCAAATATTGTCTGTTTGTATTAATTGTATGAAACTTTATTTCTCATGTGTTTAATAACAAAACGAGAAAAAAGAGCGCAAAACGTTTCAGAAATGAAGAAAACAGAATGGTCACAGTTTTTCCCACTTTGTTTATAACAATAGATTTTATTGCAATAGTATGCCTTACACACTTGACAACCATGGATGGAAAATTCCATGAGACGGGTGAGAAAAAAGGTGTCAAATTATATGCAAGGGATCTTATTGCTCAGCTCTGGCTCAGCTCCTCATTCCTGTTTGCATAAATAATCTCTTCAGGTGCATTCAAAATGATGTCATAGCGCGATACAGTAAAAAAAAAATGTTCGGTAACAAAAAAGACACTCGTACGACACATACATATACCGTTTATTATAACGGGTTGATTTTTAGTGGATTTTTATTGTTATTGATGCATAATATGAGGCAAAGTGTGCGTTTAGAGAATAAATAAGCAGAAAATTCATGTTGCGCGTGCTTTATTATTATTTGTATTGCAAGCGACACAGCTATATGTCCAAAAAACATTTGCTGCTGTTCGTTTCTCTATTGTACCAGTAGTATATGTTCTCTGTATCTCAATATTTTTTTTTTTTTTTGTTAGTATAGATGTGAAATTTGTGCATCAGGAAATCTGTTTACAAAGTATCGACGTGTGATCATGTTCAGGGATTTGGCACTGTCGCTTATTTTGGCTTCAAGTGATTGTACACCAGGTGATGTGAGTTGAATGTTTATGAAAAAAGCGCAACGTCGATTTTTGGTGTTTTTTTTTATAATTCTGTACATCGTGTCACCATATCTAAAGCTCCAAGTACTCCCCTAAGTTCCAAGTACTTTTTCTGTAGCTTGTTGCATTACACCAACAAATGAGAGAATTTACTCGTATGCTTATTTCATTGCTCATTGACACAAAACAACCATAAAATCAGAGACTATTAAGTGAAGTTATTATTTTATTATGTTTTTTTTTTAGCGATTTTCCGTACCTTTTTTCCTTATAAGTTATTGTTATATGTTCAGTAGACTTGTTGTATTTACTTTTACAAACACATACGAGATCAATATAAAACCATCCACGGTGCATGTTGTATCATAACTTCAACATGTAGTTGACAAGAGTATTTCATCTGTTTTTTTTTTGTTCAAATCCTTTGTGGTTTAATGATAATGTCATATAAAATATAAAGTCTTGGATAGGCGCAGAAAATTTTATCGCTTAGAACAAACACTTGGAGCTGCAAAATAAGGAATTTTTTGATCTTTGGATAAATATAATACCAAAAAATATATACATTTCGCAATCAAAAGACTTGAATTTATTTATTTATATATAATTTAAATGAGGACCACAAATAACATGTGTGTAAAGATAGCATCTGCATCTGCCAATTGTAGTTTTTTTCTTTGTTCTCTTTAACCTCTCGTCATAAAGTTTTTTTTTTCGTAAATATTGTACATATTCTTTTAAAGCCCATGGTTGTTATCATCTTTGAAGCTTAAGGTACGAATCACTTGCCTGTTGTATCAAAAATAAAAAGGGATGCTAAAAACCCTTCAAAATAATACTACAAGAACAACGCATTTTTTGTCGAATGCTCACACTACTCAACCCAGCCATACCAACCGAATACACGGTACAAATGGAATAACGTAGATTATATATGTAGAATGGTAGAATTTTGAAAAATCGAGAAAGATAAATGTGTGTAAATTGTGGTTTTGAATATGCCACCATTGATTGTGTAACACATTTACAAGTGCATTTGGTTATTTGAGCATTTTTCACGCTTAAGACTTTGCATGCTGCATGAGCTTGATTCTATCGTTTAATGTTAAATGTCAACTCTGTTATTTATTTTTACGGCAAACATCTTCTGTCGTTTGTCGCGCGTACATAATTTTTCATATCTTCAAGTGGCGGGGGTGTTACAAAGCGAATGCTTTCATGGAATATAGATCCAGACATTCTCGTAAAACCTGAATAAAACTCATTATATTTATTTCGTTTTTATTTATATATATTTTTTTGTATTTGTCACGTGCAAACGTTTTGGTTTTGAGTACGTCAAACGTCATAGCTTTCTTATTCTAATTTTTTTGGAAGCATCTGTGTCTTTTTTATTGCGTTACTAAGCTTTACAAATTTTTTAAAACAAAGTCTATGTACAATTTTTATAAAATTATAATATACTTTTTCCGTTGCTCATTTTGAACAAAATTTTGGGTATTTCGAATATTTATCAATTTTTTTATAATCCATTTTTACTGAATTTGAGATGAAATAAGTTACGAATAAGACACACACACACAGAGAGAGAGAGAGCGAGAGAAATCAAATACAAAATAAAACAACAGATACGATGTATGCGAGATAGCAAGAAAAGCAACTACAAAGGGAAGAAGTGTTGCACTCATTTTGAAGTCACTAACAAAGCGAATATGTTTCTTGTTTGCTTGAAGAAATAAAAACTGATAGAGCACAGTAATACCAAAAATCCAGCTGTGAATATATAAAATTCAATAAAATATTCACGATATGCAACTATTTGCTCAGAATGAACTGAGCACATCTGATGACTGAATTGAACTGTTCCAATGTATTTGAAGCATACACACATTCGGATATGTTGATAAAAATGTTCAACATACGTTCCATGTATAAATGACAGTTTTGTGTGTATGGTTACTATAGTTAAAAAATTTCTGTGAAATAACTGTTTCCTGTATTTGGGATATCATTTTATTATTCATAACATAAATATAGAAATATAAAAAGCGCACGAGACAAAACGAACGATATACTGTGATAAAATTTTCGGGATTAAATCTCTAAAGTAGCTATGGAAAATGCAAACATTATTATACATTTCTTCTTTTTATCTATGTATGTTTTTATTTCAAAAGGGTTCCAATAAAAGTGTTAGAACCTTGAATTGAAATTAAACTAACATAAATTCAAATTTAGTCGATCTCTTTATTGTAATGGTAGCCCTATCCAATGGCAATTATAATGAAAAAAACAGCATAAAGATTTTTCACCTTAGTTGGGTTTGTAACAAATACACAAGTAAAAATTAAAAATGAGTCTTCCAGTCTTTTTAAACGACTCATTTTTAATTTTTTCTTGTGTATTTGTTAGAACTTTTAAAACCGATTGATTCACTTATTAAGTAAATAATAATTATACTTTTAATAGTTAACTCAACATTGTGACTACATTGTATAAGGACACCTTGTTAAAATAAAAATAGACAGTGTCATTTCTTTTCCACTTACTGTCCCATCCGTACAACTTAAAACTAAATATTTGCTTTGGAAAATTGGTTTCGAATCCATGAAACGACATTTTCTCATTTTTCCAACACGATTCAATTTTCATTATTAATATTCTCTTCGACCCATCGCATGTGAGTTTTAAATTACAGGCAAAAGCAAAAAAAATCTGTTAGAGATTTTGTTGACACTCTCTTGACCTTTAATATCTTGGCGTTGTTGTGACACGACTAGAGTCTGATACAGAATACGTTTCATCGCTAATTAAAATTATTTTCGATCTTAAAAAATACTCTCACCGCAGCGATGTGTAGATTTAGTTATGAATAACGTAACGACTCGTACTTGGTCTGCCCGAACTTTTTGAACTCAATGCTAAATTATCAAATGTTTAACATTTTGAAAATAAATATTCGAGTTGAAGTTTCCTGTAACAATTAATAGTTGTTCTCAAATATCGTAACTATCATGTACAGATATAAGGATGTTTTAGTTCAAGTCGAATTTATATTCAAACCCAATAATTTACACACATTTTGACCGATGATCAATGCGCTGTTTAGTTGGCAATGTCATACATATTCATTGAATTGAGTTTGAATCCATATATTTTTTCTAATTTCAATATAGATTTAAATAATTAATAATTAATAAATATACACGTTATACGTTATGTACTAAACTACATTTTCTACATGAATCAATCAATTACATTATTGCTTGACGCAAAGCCATAAAGTGAAGTTCGACGAACGGCTTGCTTTATAATATAATATCAAAGTTAAAAAGGAGAAGTAGACTGCCACTTTTATACAACAACAATAACATTGTATCGCGACAATTGTGTACTCGAATCCGTACGAAAACCTATTTTTATGGTCAGGCGTCGGTCGGGACTCGGGCCAACAGAAATATAAAGCCAAAGGAAGAAATAAAAATATAAATAAATAATAGAAATTGGTTCTTTGTACAAATTCTTTTATATATTTAAAAAAATTTAAAAGTATATTTTAAATACTCACCAAAATACTAAAAAATGTCATTATATGCGAAATTGTCGCGTCAAATGTAAATATGTGAAAAATACATATAATTTTTTTTTTTCAGTTTGGACCGAGATCAACCATTCTCATTCCAAATTGGCAGCGGACAAGTGATCAAAGGGTGGGATCAAGGACTCCTGGATATGTGTGTCGGTGAGTATATTGCAAAGTTATATTTTGTTCCATTATTTGATTATGGAAAATATTTTAAATATTATAATTATATATTATAATATTTTAAATACTCTGTGTATTCTATTATATACACGAAAAAAACTCTAATTAAATATTTTAGAAAACACTTAAAATGCCTTTATATTGATTTGCGTATCCTTGATATACTTGGGAGTTAAAATAGTATAATAACAATTTGAGTTTTTGAAGGTGTATCGAATATCCCCAGACATTATATTGAGATATTTTCAGCCAGATATCGTCAGGATCTGAAATGGAGTGAAAACAATAAAAGTGATTGTTATCGTAATTGTAGCAATGTAAGTGTTATTATAACCATCACTTCTATTGTTTTCACTCAATTTCAGCTCCTGACGATATTTGGCTGAGCTGATTCATCTGAATGAAAATATCTCAATATAATGTCTGAATATCCCTAAAAAATTTATCCAAAAATATGTCGATTTTGAATTCTAAAACAAACAAATATTTTTCATATACTGTACCAATAATTTACAGGTGAAAAGAGAAAGTTAACAATTCCACCCACATTGGGCTATGGTGATCGTGGTGCTGGAAACGTGATCCCAGGTGGTGCCACGTTAATTTTCGAAGTTGAACTATTAGATATTGGAAACTCACAACCAACTACTAATGTCTTCAGAGAGATCGATGAAAATAAAGACAACCAATTGAGCCGCGAAGAGGTAAAAGTTTATGTATGGTCGATCTTCATTTTTTCATACTTTTAATTTCAAAAAATTTCAGACCAGAAACTGTGCATTTTTACTTTTATTTGTATTTAATTTCAATTCACTGCAAAATTGAACGAACACTTTGAATAATATAATTCTTGAAATTTCCAAAACAGGTGAGCGAATACTTGAAAAAACAAATGGTTGCTGTTGACGGTCAGGAAACAGAAGAAGTCAAAAATATGCTGAAAGAACATGATAAATTAGTAGAAGAAATCTTTCAACATGAAGACAAAGACAAGAATGGACTGATTTCACACGAAGAATTCTCAGGTCCCAAACATGACGAGCTCTAGAATTTATTTTGATCTATTTCAACACATACATGGAAAAAACGAGACTAAAATAAATAATTTTCCATGAGACTCTTTTTACTGTACTCAATTTAAATTTTAAACATATCGGTAGATTTTCTGTTACATAAATTGAAATAATTGTTTTTTTTTTTGTTTCAATCTATTTATTTTGTGAATTAATTAATTTTTTCTATGTTTAACAAGTGCTCAATTTTGAAAATTTTGAAAAAAAATGTAAAAAGAATATACAAATTTTTGATTTTTTTCTCTCATTTTTATTTGATTGAATAAAATGCATTTAATAAATAAATACGGAAATACTGTTCATCGATCAAAACATATCAATACATGTACGTATAATAAAACACGAATAAATGCGAATTTTTCTTAGTTTTACATTCTTAAAATAAAATACGATGTTTGTAGGAGAAAAAACGGTATTAATGTCTTGAAACAAATAAATAGCGATTTGATGTTGGCATTGTTTTCCATAACCACAATTTTTAGCGCGGCAAATACTTGTGCAGTTTTTTCGAATATTTCATAAATATTCCCGAAAATGATTCAAATAAACTTGTCAGAAGCACTTATTACTTAAGTACGTTAAAAGTTGAATACTTAAGCCATTTTAACGAACATTTTTGAAATGAACTATTTTTCCCAAGCGAATTGATGTGAACGCATCCATTTTCATACACACAAACAACAACGGCATCAATATTTCGAATTTCATTTCAATAGTGAAGTCAGCGTCAGAAGGTTAGCAAAACATTTTAGCAAAAACGTTTTCTTATTCTGAAAAATATTTATGTTCTACTGGATTTATTTTGTTTTTAAAACGTGGTGATAAAATAAATGTGAGTATTATTTTACAGTGAAATTCATTTAAAGTTTTTTTTAAATATTTCAACATGATGATTAGTGTAAAAAATTGACAGTAGCGAAAAGTGACGGATAAATCCCTGAAATTGTGATACAAATATTTATTTTTCCCGTAATTATAGAGTTCACGATGTCGAAAAAGACTCCTCGTAAACGCAAAATAAATGCTGTCACTGATGAGGAATTAATGCCACCTCCACAAATGCCAGTATCGAAAAAACATAAATCATCAAAACATGCATCGACTCATAATGTAAGCGGAATAAGCGACATAAGCAACATTAGTAATGGTAACACACTTCAAACACAAACGAAATGTGGACCACTATCAATTATTTTTGAAAAAGCGCAAGAAAATGAACCACTTCACAATAAGTATTTCAAAGAATTAACTAACATCTACGAAGATAAAGTGAGTTATTAATATATTAGTGCTCAAAAAAGCATAATAACATAAAAAAATTCTTCAACATCATTTTTCAGTTGGATCATGCCAATTTTATGAGATTTTTTTTGAATGGTATACGCATCTGGATGAAAATGGATGAATCAAACTCGTATGCCAATGTTGGTTTGGGATTTTTGGCAAAGTATCTGTCCTCACTGCGATGTGATGATTCCGATACCATTACGCATCCAATTCTAAAGTCTACATTTGACTTTTTGCTAAAACACATTAGCTTGATCACCAATGTACGTTTTCGAATTTGTCAATTCGTTAATTTACTGCTGGCATCAATGAGCTCGGAAGCTAATATTGATGACGACATCTTTGATGAAATTTTACGATACATGAGTGATAGAATGAAAGACAATTCACCATCCGTTCGTGTGCAAGCAGTATATGCACTGCAGCGCCTTCAAATACCAGAAAATCCAGATGATAGTGTCGTTCGTTTATATTCGTACCATTTGAGTAACGATCCATCAGTTTTAGTTCGAGAGGCTGTTCTTAAGTCGATTGGCCGTAACGCAAAAACTGTTGAAATTATACTTCAACGCTTATGGGATGTGGATGCACGTGTACGACGACGCACCTACCTACAAATGAGCAGTCATCCTGTTAAAAGTTATCAGGTTATTCAACGTTTGATGTTACTTGAACAAGGATTAAACGATCATTCAGAATCGGTTCGAAAAATCGTTCACAGTGTCTTGTTACCGCAATGGCTTCAATCATACAATCGACAATACTTACAGTTGATATCAGCATTGAAATTGGACGCAACTACAGAAGAAATTCAACGGTTTGTAAAAATCACGAAGAAGGCTTTGTTCATTTTATTCAAGTAAGTAAACCCGATTGTGCTTCTATATAATTAGAGTCTAATTATTAGACCATAACTAACATTTTCATTTTTTTTTTTTTTTGTATATTTTCTCGATAGAAACGACTCAATTGACCAATTAATTGATCAATTGCCGCTAAGTAGCAATGGTGAATTTATAATGTGTATACCATTTGAGAATTTGACAGTTGAATCGGCTGTATTTTGGTTAGCTATTGTGGAATTTATTCAGCAAACCGATACAAACCAAGATGATGAAGATCAATTACAGCATGTAATTTGTGAACTGTCAACATTTTGCGAGTATCTTTCAAAATACATAAACTATATAAGAGAAGCAGCAACTGAAGACTCTGAATCATGGAACGCTCAAGAGAATCAGTACAAGCTGCATATTCTTATTGATATTTTGATGAAATTTGATTTAGGCGATGAGATTGGACGACAAAATTTGAATTCGTTCGTTTCCAAAACACTTTCCACTCAAATACTTGGTGAAAATGTGGTACAAAAGCTAGTTCATTGTGTAGAAAATCTAATTCCTGATTCAAATGCTCGATTGCAATACTTTATTGATATTATAAGAAGCATTATTGAACCCAGCTCATCGATTGACGTGTCAGATCCAGCAATAACAACACTGATAGACAGTATCAATGATCCTGAAATTAAAGTGAACATCGGTCAAAAGAAATTGCGTATAATGGAATTGCGAGAACAAGAAAATGAATTATCAAAAGCCAAAGACTATGAAACGTTGGAAAAAGTCACTGAACACTTGGCAGCACGCAACGAAGAGTTTCTGACTATTCTTAATGAATATACATCGACCAATAATTCTGAATTAAATAACACCATTTTAACATCACTGAATTCGAAAAAAGTGTCGAAAGAATCAATTTTGCATTGTCTTGAGATCTGTTTCTTTACTGTTTGTTCAAAATGCACAATATCGTTGACACCAAATATGTTCAAATTGTACGAGGACTTTGTACAACGGCATTTGAAATCACAGCATATGGAAATTCGTGATCGAGCCCTTAAATGTGGCATTGCATTTAGCATGTTGTATCAGCCATTGGCAAAGGATGTATACGAAGAGCTATATCTACAGTTTGTGCTTCATTCTAATCCGCGTCTATGGACAACCGCTGTCAATGGTATTTGTGAAATGTTTGATAGATATGGTATGTTTGAAATAAGTCAATCTATTTTGACAAAATATTTAAAATTAAATTATTTTGTTTATAATATGGATAAATATTTACAGGGATTGAATATTTTACGTATGATACGGATAGTGAAAAGCAGGGCAGTTCGAAGCCGAAGAAAACTCGTCAGCTTTACAATGTGTCATGTGATCCAGATGATGAAGAAGAAAGCCAAGATACAGGCAAAAATGGTACGAATGTTATGTACTTGTTTGCACATTTATTCGATACTTGTGTTGATACGGAAATAAATATGGCATTAGCGACTGGATTTTGTCGGTTGATTTTGGGTGGACATTATGAAACAAGTGAGCTAATATCAAAGATTATTCTCAAGTTTTTCAATCCAAAAACGCGCACTGAAATCAACCAAATCCTCAGTGTTTTCTTTGAAACACTTATTCAACGCGGCAAGCAATCGTGTTTGGAAAAAGCTCTACTTCCAACCGTTTTCACTATATTGGATGCACCACATGAAAGTCCTTTACGTGAAATCAAAGTTGAATCAGTTATCAAATTTATCATCAACACAACGATGCCTACTTCACACAATTCCAACACAAATATTCACAATGCGATTGCAAGATCATTTTTGAAATATATGCATGATCATTTATCGAATAAGGAATTGCTTAAGATATTATCAAAAGAATTACAAACGTTGGACATCGATCCGAGTCCAGCAATGAAAGATGTACTGATAGAATTGGCTGAAAATTTATTGAAAATATCAATTAACGATAGCAAAGTTGAGGGTTACATCAAAGATTTTGTGGATGTATTATCGGGCAACGTAACAAAACAAAATCGATCAGAAATTAACTTAGATGATGTGGGATCCGATGATGAACAGTCAGTTGACGAAAACGTTGAAAGAAATCCGATTGACGATTGCGTTCAAACCGTTCCCAATCAACCAGACTCAACGAGTCAATCAGCTATAATCGGTAAGTGAACATTTTTTTATTTTAAATATCAATTTAAATATTGTTTGCAATGAATTTATTCATAAATTACCCACCAACACTACTTGTATAGATGCTAACAATTCATCAATGCAAATAATACCATCTCTGGAAAGAGATCACACAAAAGATCGCGTAGAAAATGCAGATAAATCTCAAAATAACATTTTTTCATCGGATGAAGAAAGTTTTGTAAGCAGTGCCAGTAAATCAACTACTAAAACAAGAGGAAAGCAAGTCACCTCACCATCAAAGAACACCAACAAAAGGAACTCAACTCAACGTAAAGATATGCCAGATGAGAATGAAAACTGTGAACGCGTAAGTAAATTTATTTAGAAATTGATTTAAAATGATTCAATAAAATATTTTTTTTCGCATATCATTAGGTCGTTACATCAACTCAAGAGCAATCTGATGATGAAGTTATTCCAAATACTCCCACCGCTTCTCCTGTAAGTTTTCTAGTCCAACAAAATTGAGTGCAAATATGAGATATTTTACACCAATAAATAGCACCAGTACTTTTTATTATGGTCAATAAAAACACTTTATGCACATACACATAGTTTAGTTTTTAATATAAAGTCAAAACACCCAATCAATAAATCATGTTTCATTTTTTTGCGACATAGGTCGTTCGCTCTAGAACTTTACGAAAAGAACAAAATCCAAAGAACAATGATAAGACCAAATCTGTTACCCAAAAGGTATGAAGAAATCCAACTCACTTAAATATTTAACTCTTTGTTATTAATTGAGATTCGCAATATTTATCTCATTCTTGCAAAATTCTCACCTAAAATATTATATAAAAGTATTAAAATAGTTTTGATTAATGTGTAACCATTACGTAATTAAAATCCAGCCTTTGAATATTTAATAATAATAAATTATTTTTTCAGAGCTCTACCAGAAAAAATACCACGCCAAAATCAAGTCCGGTTCCACCTCAAGAAGGTAGAAAACGTCATCGGCTTTCACATGCTCATGTGAGATTAGAACGACTAAATCTTGATACAAGTGAAAATGTGATAGTGCATCGAACTCGGAATGCGCTGGTCGCTGAATTCAAAGACAAAAATATCATGACTCGTAATCGAAAATCTTTGGACCAAATCAAGAGTCCGACCCAACGTATGGAGCACTTGAAAAAATTGACACCAAAATCCACCGGGAAGACGTCGAAGAACAATACGTTGCCATTGTCACCATCTGTAACGCCACTGCCTAAACGAAGAAGTGTCTCAGATCGATCATCACCAATACCTGTGAGTCTGAAGTTGCTTGGCGAAAATACTGCTAGTGTTGCAAGAGTAAATATTCGACAATCTAAAATTCCAACTCGAGCCGCGTCTACTTCCATATCATCATCATCATCATCATCATCATCCTCGAGCACACGGACGACAAATGGCCGAGTGAGCAATTCATCATCACAAACAAACACAAAATCTAGGCTCCCCAGACGAAAAAGCAATCGCAGCACATCTCAAATATCACTAAGGAAAAAATGATTTTGATGAATGAATGAAAGTGTTGTTTGTATACTTGTCATGAAAGTTAGAAAAATAGTAAATTTAAGCTTTGTTTTTTGTTTAAAAACAGAATCCAACTACAAATACTTCTTTTTAAAAATAGTATTCATTATTCTCATTATTTTTCAGTGTTTAATGCAATCAAGATAGATAGAGAGATAGATAAGATGAATAAAGTCATTTTTATAAGATGATTTGCTGCAATCAACTAGGAATCTTTTGTCGGGATTATTTACAATTTCTATCCATCTTGAAATAAGCTTTTCAGTTTTTCTTTTTTTAAGTAAAATTTATTAGAAGATCATTTTTTTGTAATGAAAAATACAAACAACAACCTTTATTATTTTTTATTTAGAAAACCAAATAATAGATAGGTTTAAAAAAATTACATTTTCTTGAAGTTCTTCTTTAATATTCAATGCAAATAACTCAACATATACGAATCATTCACAGGCAATAATTTATGTTTGGCCTGTTGCTATAGCAACCGATATACACAACTGAAGATATACAAACATAATAACATACTATCCTCTGTAGTACATGGACAAGCAACGCACGTATCAGAGTAATTGTAAGAAAAAACAAAATTGTAAAAAAAAAACAATTTTATTGATAACATTAAAGTATTTGAAAATAAAAATGTGGCATCATTTTGCATCAACAGAACGACTGTAAGAAATATAGATTACCTTAAAAAAGTTTATGGCCGATTATGAATTTGATCACAGTAAATATTTTATATTTAGGTCCACAAACCGATCGGATACACAATCTCCGTATGCAAAAAATTATCGTACAAATTTGACACACGATCAACGTGAACAGCTGTCCCATCGGCAAAATATTTCAAGAATTCCACGTCGTGAGTTCGAAGATCGTTATATCGCATTATTAGATGAATACTATGCGCTAAAAAAGGAAAATGCTGCGAACAATCAAAAAATTAAAAGAATGGCCACGAAACTGTTACGACTATCGGCTGAAAGTAAAAGTAGAGGTGCGACATTTCCACAACAACTTGCACCAAATGAAAATCTGGAAATACAGTAATATACACCTCTTTCTTTTTTAAACTTAATGTAAATGTGTAAAAAAAAGTATATAATTTTTATTTAATGTATAGAATTTATAGACTAGAAGCATACAATTCGCTTTTGAAGGATCGACTAAATTCCATAATAAAAAAATATGCCAATTGTGCTACAGCGAGTATAAGTACAATAAGACGACCAGCTTCGTGTTCAAACTTTTCTATGAAACGAAAAATGTTTGTGAAAATTCATTCTTATTTATTTTAAAAAGAAAAAGAAGATTTAAATGAAAAATATTTCCCCTTTTAAGCAGTATTTTAAGTGAAGACGATTTACATTTGCTAGAGATACCGGAATTGCCAACACTTATCACGAGCGATGTGAAATTGTCCACGATCAAAACGGCTTCGAATAAGTCGCAAGACCATTATAACAACAGCCAATCATCGATTATTTTTGAGAATGACATTGCATCAATTCATCAAGAATCAGGTCCAAGTGAACTAATCGAAGAAGAAAGAGGTTCAAATAATAACCTAAAGAACACCATACATAAACTGGAAATGGTAAAATTGTCTTCATAAAATAACATAACCACTTAAATTAAAGAATAATTATGCGTAGTTAACGTTTGTACTTATTTTTTCTTAGGAACTGAACGAAGCAAAAACCATCAATGACTCGCTACAACAGTTGAATACTTCACTTGAAGAAAAGCTGACACATCAATTGATGGAGAAGTGCACTGAATTGGTTGAATTACGTCGAACAATGATAGAATGTGAAATGGAACTTCATGAGCTTCGAGATCAATACATAAATTTAAAGACTAAAGCAGAATACGATTTAGATGAAGAACACAGAAAAATAGGTAAGTAATTATATTCTTCCAATTTTTTAGCTTAAAAATATCAATTTTTTTCTTTTTGTAAAGACGAATTAACACAAATTGTTCAAAATGAAATGGATCGAAACACAACCTTGTCAAAAGACTTGCAATCACTACGAAATGGTACGGGATGCATGGAGAATATCAATATCATCAAAAATGATGACAAGGTAGAGTACATTTATATGATTTTTATTGATGCAGATGTCTTGCATTGTTTTTTCTCGATACTCAAAATTAATTATGGGCTCAAACTATAGTTGGAACAATTTGTATCACAACCTTTATATGTTTACGGTAAAATTTGGTCCCATGTCAGTCATTTTCAACTGGGATAAAGACCCGCAAAAATTAAGTGTTTGAATAAAATTAGCTATGGGTGGTCAGTTGGTCACACATTGACTCCAAAGAGAGAGAGTAAAAATGGTGGGAGATTTGACGCAAACGGCCATGAAACAAACATCAATTCCATTGAGTCCCATTGGATTATGATCTCTGTATAGTCACTATACTATAGTGTTTTTCGCTGATTTTTTGTTGCCGGTTTGTCAGCAAATTGCGGAATATGGGCACCAAATTTAGCTTGTTTGTCAATTTTCACATGTCTCTTATGTCTACTCGTATGCTCCTTAAAAAGTAATCGCATAACGGTACAAGAGCAAAACTGTTTATTTTCGGTGGGCAATTATTTGTTGGCTGTTGAAAGTTTGGATTGTGACCACATTTTTCGTGAATGGTATTATTATTTATTTATTCACCGTCTGATCACAGACTGATTTTATCACAATAATTTACAATATCATTTACAATGAAACACTACCCGATCGAATACTAGCCGCCAGTCTTTTCGACTTCGGAGCAGCAGATATCGACTGTGTTCATTGTATATTACTATTCATAACACAATTTTTCTTAGTTTATTTTACCGAATATTAAATAACAAATTGTCCAATTTAACAATACTATTTCTAAAAATGTGTCTCGATGCCGATTCCAAAAATGTTTCTCTTATTAAATTGGTATTCCATTGAGTGGCGGGCATCACTGTGAAAATCTTTTATTTGACGTTGCATTTTGATTCAAATCAATGATTTTTTACGAAGAAGTGCATGCATTTTTGTTAAAATAAAATGTTGATAAGTCGGTGAATCAAAATGTACAAATATCAGAAAGATCAGATGCTTTTCGAAAATTCAAAATTGTAATTCTACACAAAAAGCAAAGAAAATAAATGACATATAAAAATGTTTTATTGGATTTCGTAAATTTTATTGGAAACTGTTAACATAATGTGCCAAAGCATTACATTTTTCTATGTTAAAATGTATTGAAAACGTAAATGCAATAGCTCATTGCCGTTTTGTTTTTTATTTCATCGAATATCAAAAAATATGTAAAATGGTATTTTTCTTACAATTTAAGACAACTGCTTAAGCGAATTGCATTTGCATAAGTTAGTTTGGATCCAACATTTTTTTAAGTATCGGAACATTATATATTATTAAATTTACTTTGATCACTTAAGGGAGAAGTACAACGATTGAATGAAAGTATAAACAAAAATGGTGTAGAAGACATCAATATTGTGGACGTATCAAATAAAAAAGAAGAACTAGAAGACCTGTTAAATGAGGCAAAATCCTCTATAATTCAGTTACAAGAGGAAATACGGTTGCATAAATTTGAAATTGACAAACTACGTCAAATAAATTTTGAGCAAGAAAAACAAATAGATTCGTTACAAAGTAATAACAAATCCAAATCAAACCTGTTGAACAACGAATTACATCCACCGTCTTTACCACTTGAGCCGATCATTATAATTCAACAACATAAAAATCAATCAAATTCTGAGGTTGATGCCAATGACAAAAAAGAAAGTTGTGCGAAAGAAGAGACAAATTCAATCGTGACTCCATCAATAAATAATCAAACATCACAATCGGACAACACTTTTATTATGTAAGTAAATTAAACATTTCAACAAAAAAGACACCAGAGATAGATAATTAGATGGTGATTTATATTGCTTTTAAAACATACAAAATTACTCTATAAAATTTTATCAAATACTATAAAATTTTACAGCACAAAAGATAAGTCGCAGAAACAGGTGAAAAAGAAGCCAAAACAATTGAATATGAGACATAATGTTCCAAAGTATGGTTCTAATTCTTACTTCAGTTATTAATTGCATCAAACAATAAAATTTAATCAATAATTATTTATATTTTACCCTAGTCCACAATATTCAACAACTGATTCAGAAATGAGGTGAGAAAAACGAACTTAACATTCATACCATAGACTATTTTAAGCTGCAGTTAGTATCTTTTTCTGCAGTTCTAAATTGAAAAATGCAGTTGTAAATTTCAATTTCTGCAGTTGTAAATTTTGTAAGATTATGGAAATTTTTGAAAAATCGTGAACAATTTTGGTTGAAATGTCCTCTATTTTCCACCTCAAAATGCTCAAAAATCATCTACTTCAAATGTAAAAAAAAAAACCATATTAAAAAAATGTCCTCGAAAAATATTAAGTCGTGTCCTCGATTTTTTTCTGTTCTGCAATTGTAAAATTTTCTTAAAATAGTCTCTGATTTATACTACTCCATCAATTCTTTACATTTAATTTTATTTTTCATTTCATATAGTTCTTTGGATTCGGAACAGCATTATCGTTTATTCCAGAACAAAAATCAGATTATTCAAAATTCTATGATGTTTATGGATTTATATCGGTCACATTCAATTTCTTTTTCTCAGCGTATGAGTTTTTTGGAAAAAATTGCATATTATAGACCATTGGCGTATATTTTACCAAGATCAAATGACATAGATAGCCAAAGTCATTTTCTAGCATGTGATTGCAATGGATTTGAATGCGATCATCAAAATGAAATGTTTTATGAAGAAATTCGCAGAGCTGTGGAAAATGCCAGATCGATTATTTTACAAGAGATTCAAAATAATCCATACGCTGAAAATGGCTGTGATAATTATTCTGAAGCCAACAAGTGTTTTAATGATTCAAGTGAATGTCGTGAATTTTTACGGGTTCAATATAATTTAAACATGTGTTTAAGACAAGAACTAGAACGAATATGTAAGATATGTAAAAAAGAGAGACAGGAGTTTATGAAACAGATTGACAGTTTGAAATCAAAGTTGCAAAACTATGAAGATGAGCATAGGGTATGTGTGAAATTTTCATTTAAAGCCAACAAAAAAGATTTCATCAATAATCTTAAAATTTATCACTTTTATATACAGCTTGAATTGGAAAAATCGGCTAGAATGCTTTTTATAGATCATGATGAAGGTTCATTTGAACTTCATGTAAATGCATTTCGTCCAACGAAAGAGGTACAACTCTTTATTAAAATTGTTTTATTATTATCACTATTATTATTATTATTTTAAATTGCATCCTTTATGTTATTTGTTTTAGGGTCGCCTGCTTCTTTCTTGCAGACATGGCGAATTGGGTTCGCTCTACGTTTCGTGGAACTTTTATGAATGCAAAATTGAGTCAAGGACCAGCATACGACCGCCACCTTATTACTCTTATGAGTCTAGTCATATATATGTCGTATCAATTAATAAGCAATTTTTAACACGCTTGCATAACGTATGTTTTTCGAAATTAAAAAATTCAAATACTCCATTTATAGTCTATAAGATTATAGATTCAATTTTTATTCAAATTAAAATCTTTTTTTATATTTTTAGGAAAAGTTGGTGGTAAATTTAATTGCATCATCATCAACTGGGTCGACGACCACAACAATTGGATCTGTAAATATTAACTTGGCTGAGGTTCTAATATTTCCGCATAACAAAATTCAATTGACCACAAAGGTCATATCAATCTCAAATGATTGCAATCATACAGACACATTTTGTGAATGTGATGTAATGAATGCAACCAAAGCGAGGCATGTGGGAAATTTAACGCTGTGGTTTCGTTTGACCTGCGAGTTAGACGTGCTCAAATCGCTGTATAATAGAAATGAATATTGGGCTAGTGAACAAAATTCAATGATGCAAGAAGAACAAAACACCTCTATCACACAACCTAAATTCAAATTGAAAAAATCGTCCAGTAAGTTAGATGTAACAAATATAAATACTGAAAACCAGCCAAAGGATGAACAAATATTGATTATTATAACAATTGTGTGTCTAAGATTCAACACAAACTATGTTATACCCAACGAAACAAAAGAACAAATTCACATCGAGTATAGCTTTCTAAATTCACGTCGACTTAAAACAGATCGAAAACCACTCTCTTCGAATCAGTTAAATTTCAATTTTACACAGAAATTTATGCACAGCGATCGCAATCAACAACGCCTAGCGAATATTTTGATAGACGCCGAACAAAGTATCAAGTTGACAGTTTTCAAAACAAAACAATTGTCCGAAACATGTTTTGAAGATGAATCTGAAAATGTCGACGTTGAAATTGGTTTTGGATTATTACATTTGGGAAAATTTATAAGCGAATGGAACGGCCCCGATGAAAATACTCCTGATATTCATATATTTGAAATACCGATTTTATCGAAGCAACCTCCCTATCATAACATCGCTTACCTGGATATTTCTATAGAGGATATAGCAACATTAAAGCATATGCAGAAAATATTATAAATGAATGAAAAAAAAATTGATTATAAATTATAATAAGTTCAAATGAGTTTGTCTAAGAATTTGTACAATTAGTTGCAACCGATTTTACTCTTATTTTAGTGTTGTTGTTTTTTTTAGAAAAAAATGTGTCCATTTGAATTTAACGGACATCGAAGGTCATTGAATGCATTCATTATAGTGACTAAGTTTGAAGTCCAAGTTTTTTTTTTTTGATGTATTAGAAAAATGAATTAAAATTATATAACAATTGAACGATATTAATGTAAAAGTGGAACTTGAAAAATAAATATTTTGAGTTTCAAATATTCAAATTATCATAGATTCGCCGTGTTTTAAATTATGTATTGACGTACTTTATTTTGACTGATGGGACTTAACGGCGAAATACGAATACGCTCCGAATTTCTTTGAGTAAAAAACATATAATGAATTTCACAAACAATACATTTGTATCGGTTGTTAGTCAACGCCGCACTCTGTCGCCATTGTGTTGTGTGTAATGTGTTGTTGTATGTAGTGTATATAACTATACACGTAAAAGCAATTTCAATCGACAGCAAAAAAGTTTTTTAGTCAACATTTTCTATTGCTAAAAAGTAAAAAGACAAAAATAAATAAACAAACTTATAATTGTAATTCAACATCTTGTATTCAAATGTTAAACATTATATAAAAACCTACAAATCATTCATATAGTTCCTGGAATTCATTGAACTACTAAAAATGAGTTCCAACTGATAATACCACAACATTAAAAATATCACATACGAAATCATAATTTTGAAAAAATATATATCAACTTCAATGAAAAATATCGTCGAAAGAAAAGACATGGAGTGCCATTGAATTGTTAGTGCATAGTTGCAATTATTTTCGTTTATTTTTTTTTATACCTAGTACACACACATATACATACATTCTTCGTTTATCTATCATATCCATTTGTTTCGTCTTGTCAATGTTCAGTGGTAAGCATTTTTTCTGGAAAATATTTCGCATAATTATTTAGTGACAGCATAAATATGTGGCAATTTGATGTTATTATTGGAGTTGAAATTGAATTAGTTAACCTAAAAAAAAATAATTTTACCATCATTGTTGGAATTTACAAAAAGGGAATATTTCTACAACTATACTTCCATGATAGCCGCTAGTGTTTTTCAATAACCAACATCGTAATCTATATGAATTTAAAAAACGATGTACTGGACACATTTGACATCAACCACAACGACTCACAGATGAGTAGGAAAAGATTGTACACAGAATTAATTGATGTTTAACTTATTGCTTTGAAAAATATATATTTATTGCTTTGTCCCAATTTACCAAATTATGAATCAAATTTAACTTAACCAAGAATATGTGGAACATGATAACTGATTTAAATGCATTGCAATCTATTAAAGAAACTTAAATAACAACTGTAAATTCTATATGATAAAAAATGTGTATATGAGATAAAAGAACGCTTTGTACGACATTTCCTTGGTGAGAATTTCATTTCCGACCATACATGACGTTATTAAAAAAACTCAAAGCATTAAATACTCTGTAAAATAGAAGGGATTAAATATTAATCATTTGGGATTTTTCATCATAATAATCCAAAAGGATTAAATGTTAGCACTATAGGATTAAATTTGAATACTTACTAAAAGTAGCTATAATAAGACCACGATGACATCCCGCACAATACCCAGGGCTTACGGCCGAAAGTTTCGTGCTTGATCTTGGATAGAACCCGATGTTCCTTGTATTGGTTGTTGATTCTGAAAGTAATGATTATAATAACAATACTTAATGTGAAATTCAAGTTAAACATAGTTAGTGTGCATTTTGAATATTGCATAATGAAATTTGATAATTTTTTTTTTACCTGAATGGGTGCTGTGGGTCTTTGAAATACGGGGTGTAGTTCTTCATTCATTACTATAGTTTTGCACGTAATAAAAAATTATTATGATAAGTTAATAATAATAAGCATTCCCACCAATATCGTTATTAGGATCGGATCCTAATAGCGTTATTATGATTTTATTAACTTATCATGATAAAATCATACTAATGTTATTAGGATTACATTCTAATACTTATTATGTTTTATCATAATATTTATTAGGATTCATCTTAATAAATACCGTGGACACTTCACTTGTCTGAAGTAGCGCCATCTGTTGAAAATTATTTTTGGCTGAATAACAATATGCTATCAAGTGAACACGGTTTTTATTAAGATCAATCCTAATAAATATTATGATAAAACATAATAAGTATCAGGATGTAATCCTAATAACATTATTATGATTTTATCATGATAAGTTAATAAAATCATAATAACGTTATTAGGATCCGATCCTAATAACGATATAGAACATTATAATTATCATCCTAATAAAAATTTAATACGATATCGCAAAACGCAAAACTATATTCATTACAGCACACCGTCCTATATTTGAATTGTTTAACAAATAACAAATTCATTACTTATTGTTCATATTGAGAAATCGATTCAATCAAATGCACAAACCTTTGTAGAGTATATTGCGACCGGCGTTTGTATCACGATTCCATGTGATAGTACGACCAATTGTCCGTTTTTCTTCGTAGCGTCGGAATTTTGATGCCATACGTGGTCCAGGACGAGGTCGATGTTTTCGTTGTTTCATCAAAAGATGATTACTCTTTCGTGAGTCGATGGGACCATGTGGTTTATTTCCTTCTGGCAATGGTTCACATCCACGGCAAGTAAAGTATCGATACTTCATCTTCACACGATCACCTTTCTTCGGAAATTCCAAGTCTTTGAAACACAATGAGCACACCTTTGTTGTTCGAAAAATGTTTCAATGAAAAACCGAAAAAATGGTTTTTTCTTGATTTGT